TGGTTGGAAAGCATAGATAACATGTCAGTAGGTTCCACCGAAATACACAGGCAGATTTCAAAAGTTTAGTCCAGTTCCATTTAATTCACCACAGGCACTGGACTTGACAATATCACATAATGACTTCAGGAAATAGAGGTATTTTTGTTTTTTCATATCTTTGAACATCATTATACTTCAAATTCAATACATGCTTCCAATAATTTTCTCTCTTTGTAACATTTAAAGCAATAGTATTATCACATCCTTATTTCTAACCCATCAAAAAAAATTTTTGATTTGAATATAATTGCAAATAACCATTAAAAGTCTGAAATGTTTGCAGAACTTCAATAGGTCTTATTTGCAACTATTGGAGAACTATTGTTGCCATGTAAATACACTTTTTAGATAACTTAAAAATTGTCACAATAAGCAATGTGTTCTTATAAGTTTAAGTGCTTGGCATGGAGGCATTTATAAACAATATTGAAACTTACCTTGTCTATTTAAAAAACACTTTAAACAGTATTACTTTACTTGGCAACACACAGATGTTACTATAAATATGTTATTGAACTAAACTGTAATGAGGTTATCCTTGAAGTAGAAGGGGAAGAGCCATTTTTCTCTATATGAAAATAGTATTGTGCTTTGTGAGTTCTCATTTCTACTCTCTGACATCAAAAAAATATTTTTTAAGATTTGGGGCTTCCTTAAGCATCTCCAGGCCACGAGCTATCAAGTCTTAGGATCAAGCTACCTGATTCTTCTGTCATCTTCACAAATTAATTCACCCAATCCAATTATGCATTCATTCAACAATAGTTAATTGAATATCATCTAAGGAAACTTCAAGGATACAAATTGACTTGACATAAATGAGTTTTCTAACAAAATTATCCAAAGATAAAATAAACAAACTCAAAATATAGTAAATTTCCCATCATTGAAGTACAGGGGTAGGCAAAAATAGGTTTACCATTGTGAGTAAAAGAAACACAAAGATTATTCTTTTTTTTTTTTAGATTATTCTTGTTTATTTATTTCCATATGAACAACTGTAAACCTACTTTTGCCCACCCCATATTTAAGTACATGCTAGCAGACCATCAGAAGGGGAGTAGATTTTTAGTATCAAAAAGGTATTATCAGAGGCAAATTTGTGATATTTGCCAAAGGTGAGATGCTCTATTTCTAACTATAATTGTCATAGGTCTATTTTTTCTTATTGTTGTAGACATAGCTCATTATATGATCTTTTACATTGGAATTATGCCTAAAATAGAACCCTGAAATTGTTTATTTCTTGGTTTTCAGTTATTTCAAGAAGGAATGGTTTACAAGTTACCACTGTGTTCATAAGTAAAGTAATAATACATGTTATTTCTTTAAGAAAATTTTCATATTTCCTTACCCTAATAAGTCTTAATTAGTTTACTCAATATTCAATACCACAAAAAAAGAATCAAGAAAATAATGTGTTGCCCGGCTGGCATGGTTCAATGGTTGAACATCAATCTATGAACTAGGAGGTCACAATTTGATTCCGGTTCAGGCACATGCCCGGGTTGCATGCTCCATCCCCTATAGGGGACGTGCAGGAGGCAGCTAATCAATGATTCTCTCCCTCTCTGAACTCAACAAAAATATTTAAAAAAATAATAATGTGTTTTTCCTTGATTCAAACTAAATTAAACTCTCCAAGAATCCCCTAATTTATCAAATCACAGTTCAGAACTTCCATAAAACCTTGACTCTCTAGAAGTAGGACTTTAACCTCCATTGTCTCTGCTTGTTAAACCATGCAACCTCCTTTCCCACAGTTTCCTTACTCAATATCTTGTCAAAGTTAATAGACACATTTCTAGCCCTAAGAGTGAAAATAAGGCATCATTTTAAATTGGAGTTTGACTTAATATAAGAAGCTATGAAACATGTTGAACTCAGAATAAAGTCTTCTACTTTATAAGTATTTATGGATTATCTATCCTACCCCAGGAACACTTCTAGCATAGAAGGTGCATCCTAAACAAAATAGGCAAAAAGTTATTCTCTTGATGAGTCTGAATTTCAGTGATGAGGAAGGGGGTCAGAAAATAAAAAGGTACTCATTTTTAAAATTTAGTGTGTATTATATACTAATAATTGCTAGAGGGAAAAGCATAAAGCTGAGAAAAATAATAAGTATGTGTGCATGCATGTGTGTGTTCATGTTTAGGAGTATGGCAAATTTTAGTCTGCCTCGCCAGGGTAGATCTCACCCAAAGAATGGCTTTTGAGTACAGACTGGTTAAATGAATGAGGTAGCTTTGTTGGATATCTGGGAAAGAGGAGTTCGAGCATAAAGACTGTGTGAAGCCCCTGAGACAGGCCTGCCTAGCAGCATATTTGAAGAAGAGCGAGGAGGCCAGGGTGACAGGAGCACAGGAATTAAGGGAGCATGGTAGGACACATGTTCAGATCATGTAAAGCTTCATAGGTCAGAGTATGAACGTTTGCTTTTACACAGAGTGAGATAAGCCGCTGGGGACTTTTGAGTGGAGGAAAGACATAATCTGGTTTATGTTTTCATAGAATCACTATGACTACTCTATTGAAAACAGACTAAAGGGGTATGAAAGGGAAGAAAGGAAGTCAGTACATATAGTAATGACTCATGGACTGGATAATGGTACTTGGATCCAGAGGATGGCAATGGAGGTGGTGAGAAGTGGTAGAATTATTCCAGACATATTTTAAAAGCACTGCTGACAGATCCAATGTGAAGGATGAGTGCTACAGAGGGTTCAAAGAAGACACCAGGATTTTTGACGTGGGCAAGTATAAGGATAGAGTTGCCATTAACAGAGAATACATGGAGACCTAAAACTTAATTCAGTTGACATTAAATTGTCAGGCCCCAAGATCCTACCAAACTGAGAATAACTCAAAATACATGTCAGCATGCTATCTGTTTTAATTTATTTAAAAAGTTGCAATGTAGACTTTTTGAATACAGAGGGTAGTACATATTCAACAGCTAGAAGTAGAGAAGACGATGGCTACAGGGAGGATTTGTAAAAAAGCAATATGACTTGTTACTTTTAATCACTAAATGTAAATTTAAACATTGCCACTTACACATGCTAACACATTTGGTTAAAATTAGCTATTTTATTTCCAATTATTTCCCCATCGGTTGGACTTTTCTACTGTCCATTTCTCAGTATTCTATAACTGTGCCTAGCAACTATTAACAAAATACACTTTACTGAATCTTTGCATGTGCTCTAGATCATATTGTAGAAAGAAAAGAAAAAGAAAAAAAACCCATCCCACTATGCAATTCTTGGCCTAGACTGAAGGTTAACTCTGAGGAGTTCTCATAACTAAAACAGTCACTTTTCTAATTGTATGACTTATGACAAACCTTTTAAATGGTGCATATAAAGTAAAGTCAAATCCCTTGAATCCCTTGCAGAGTGGTTTAGACTAATCCAGTAGCTGCAAAGTATTGAGACGCATTGGGTGAAAAGGTATCTTGGGCAACTTTCGTGTCTTTTATCCCACTGCTTAAGTTAAGCTCGGCAACAGTGCCTTGTGCTGGCATCCTATTCCCTGTCTCTGGTGAAGATTTATCACAGTGAATCTGGTGAGATAATCCCTGGAATAATCATAGTCGTTATGAAGTAATTTCATTATTTCTTTTTGTTGCCGACAAACATATGAGTCTTTAATTGACAAAAGGAGAGTAACACATTTCTCCTAGATCCCCTCCGCACAGCCTGTTCTGATCGGGGGGAGGGAATGTTCCAAATGTTCCATGATGTCATGCTTCACTGGAACTCAATACTGGAAACATTGAGGTGCAGGACTCTTCCCCATCCCAGGAGATCCGACTTCTTCCGTTCACGGCTCTCGCTTAGCTGATACACTACTGGTTATTGGTGATACACTTGGGATCATGGTGACCTCCCTCCACCTCCTCCAGCAGATGCAGCCGGGATGTGACAAAACAAAATATCAAATACAGGGGTTTAATTCCATTTGGCTTATAAATCAGCTGGGTATGAACTACTTCAAAAGATTCTCTAGCCTGAAACTTGTCTCTGAAATAAATGCCTCCACATGTTGTCACTGGTGAAGGGGTAGTGCTGCTCTCAGTGAGATTAATTTCTAATTGCATCCTTCATTCGTAACTTTTTCCACCAGCTCCCTGGGGCCTGAAGGCAGTCTGGGTGCAGGCAACATGAGATTAAATCCAGTGTGATCATAGCTTCTATAGAAAGCATTACAGTATTTATATACTTTCATGTTTGACCTGCACAGTAGCTCTTTGCTCGCATTAGAACATATACTATGACTGGCCAGCGTGGCTCAGTGGTTGAGAATCGACCTATGAGTAGGTTTGATTCCCAGTCAGGGCACATGCCTGGGATGTGAGCTCCAGTGTGGGCCAGGCAGGAGGCAGCCGATCGATGATTCTATCATTAATGTTTCTATCTCCCTCTCCTTTCCTCTCTGAAATCAAAAAATATTTTTTTAAAGAACATATGTTATGATCTCTATTTGACAAATGAAGAAACAGAGTCACTGCAGGTTCTTTGCAGAGTAACTACTAGGAGAAACAAGGCCTCTTCAGTGTTGTATGTATTTTAAGTTAGGTGGTTAAAAGATTCACCCAGGACTCAAACTGCATCCCTTTGCCTTCACTCCATAAGTTTTTAGTTTTTACTGGAATTCGCAACAATTCGGTTTCAGTATCTTAGTTCTGGTTTCCTGGGAAACAGACCCTGAGGCAGATATACTTGCAAAGGGTAGATGAGGTGTGCCCTAGGGCAGTGAGAAAGAGAAACAAGAGTTGGTGTAGGAAGAAGTTAAATTTAAATGCTGTTTCTACAGGGAATTTTCATGCCCCGTCTTCAAAGCTGTCCTCAGTTGAGGGTTGGGACTTTATGCTGCCTCATCTACCAGTCATCAGATGTAGCATGATCTGTAGTAGTCGTAGGCCCTGGGCCAGGAAACTCCCTTTAGCGAGTATTCGGCTGTGAACAGCCAGCAGCCAGTTACTTTGGAAGTGAGCGAGCTTCCCAGAGGTGGAGGTCTAGGTGATGCATCACAACCTCCACTACAACTTGTCAACAGAGGCTCAGTTGTGACATTGAAAAAAATTAAGCTCAAAATGCCAGTGACTTAACACAACACCCGTTTATTTCTTGCTCACATGACACATCCAGTGAACATCAGGTAACCCTCCTGGCACCTGGACTTAGGGCAGTGCCTTCTGGCGTCTCCACCATTTCACCTGTGCCCTCCACAGTAACACAGGGGCTTTTCACTGCCCCTGCCTGCAAGTGACAGATCAGCCCTACTCACAGCGTACAGGCCAGACTTAGTCCCAAGGTTCTGCAAGAGGGACCGGGAAGTACATGTTTCCTTTTGCCCAGGAGGGAGAGGAGAATCAGATTATTATCGCCACATATCTTTTGGGATCCCAGGATAAATTGCATTAAAACATTAGCCAATCGATGAATGTGCACTTTGTGATCACATTTTATGCAACAGTGCTACATTAGGAGCTTTGACAAGCAGTGTAGCCCAACAGCAAAGCATGAAAAGTCCAGACGGGTGAATAGAAGATCACATCTGCAAAATAAAAGACATTTATTCAAGGCAGTATATCATTGAGAGTTAAATTGTGACCTTGATGGAAAATGCTTTCTGAAAACAGGGAAGAGATGTGAAAGAGGGCAGATGTCAAAAGAAACTTCATGCAAAAGATAAAAATTGGGTTGGGCCCTGAAAATTAAAACCCTGTAATTGCCTCCACAATTAGAATAAGGTATAATCCTCATGAACACTCTAAGAATGTTGTAGATGGTCCTTCTTTTCAGAAGTCTCACATTCTCAAAAATATGCTGCCATAATGAGAGAAAAATAACTTCTTAACATGAGGGAGGATTGGTAAGTAATGAAACAGCCTCTCACAAACTAAGAAACAATCTGTTGAATAGAAAAAAATCAGTCAGGTGCAAATACACCCAGAGCCAGAAGCACTGTGCTAACATTGCCTGCTCAACTACATTCCTGCTGTTTCAAGACCTAACCTAAACTGCTAACTTCATGGATGCCTGCATGCTTCTCCCAACACCACCTGACTTCACTACTTGAGTAATTCCTGACATTGCTCTAATTCCTCCGTTCCACTCCCCAAACGATAACCAAAAGAATGAAGCAATTTGATCCATGGCCCTTTAAAAGATTCAACTCAGAATATGTAGTAAAATCCTACCCACTCCTTTTTGTTGAAGGGAATAAAATATAGTACATGCCTGCTGTATTTTAGCTATGTCATGAGTTCTTTGGCTTAATCTTCACAATCCCTGAGGGTGAACAATTTTATCCCAATTTTTTATATGATGACATTGAGGTTTAGTGAGGTTAAATCACTTTCCCTAAGGTTAGAGTTGGTTAAATTGCTTGCCCAGAGTGCAACCCATATCTGTCTGATTTTACAGTCTATCTTTCCTTCACCATAAAATCCCAAGCAAAGTCAATAATTCTATCAAAGTCGGCCTACCACAAGATCCTAGCTTCATTCCGGAATTTTTTGTATAAGCTGAACCCCATTTTGAATGTTAAACTAATTTAATTACTAAAGTTCCTAATAGAGAATTTCCTCATGTGGCTGCACCATATGGCAGTTCTAGGCCACGGACTCTCAGAAACCGCACTATGGAAGCTTGAACATAATTCATTCTGTGGTTGTCAACATTTATTACACATTGGCAATCTGTAAAAAATTAAGCTAAGACCACCCAATTTGTGGGGCTAGGGCTTCAGCTGTTTCTAACCTGGGCCGTACTCACACCAGTGACCATAAGGTAGAACGTGCAGAGCCCCATTCTCACCCTGCTGGACAATGCTGTTCCTTTTGAACATTTTGAAAACTACATGCTTCAAAGCATCTGCCCACATTACTATGCAACAGCAGTTTTCAATGGACCATGCTCAAGATGAATGGAACTCAGGATATGTCCATCACATTTAGCCAGGCACTTGAGATTAATGAGACCAGATGTTCTTGGAGTCACAGGGAAAGAACAATGGAATGTTGCTCTGTTCTTACTATTGACTTTTTCCCCCATCACGTTTGCTGAAACAAACTGCATAATTTTATCTAGTACATAAGCGAAGCTACTCCAAATAATTCAGAAAGTGTTACATCCTGGTTGCTAGGTAACTATCTAAACAGTCTGGGGCCCCCAGCAGGAAATTCTAATACTTTGTTTTATCAGTTCAATAAACAAAAGAACAAATAAATAAAAATGAGCAATCAACACAAATAAAATAATTTGAGGGAAGAAATGACCCATCTGACACCACAAGGGTGTGATTTAGAACCTCCCTATTTGGTTGGGGTTAGGGGAAGAATTGAAAACAAAACTGCAGAGGAATTTGAATTTTGAGCAAAAATGAAAAGTAATTCAAATCCACAGCACTGATTTTGCTGCTTATAGAGCTGCCTTGGTAAATGCCCCCGTACGTGGCCTTGCCTTTGAGAAGATGGCCTATCCCGAAACTCCCAGTGACAGGCATCTCACTCCTAGAGCCCCAGCTCCATCCAGTGCAAAGCAGTACCCAAGAGGGCTGAGTCAGGGAAGCTATCAACACTGGCCTTCCAGTCCTCTGCACAGCTCAGAAGCCAAAGGGGAGTGGGTGAGCAGGAAATGCAGTCACCCCCCTCACCACGCCGATCAAAATGCCCTCTGCGGTAATCACCTGGCAGCTGCTGGGAAAGAGCATTCAATCTAAATGTAAAACAGAACATACTCCTGACACTCAGGCTTCAGTCCACTGAGGGGAAACATGTCATCTTCTTCCCTTTCCCTTCCCAGGAAATGAATCAGGGTGTTCTGCTTCGAAACTCATCAGCACACCCCTGTTTTCGCTTTCCCCACAAATAGATAAGAAGCCTGTAATTTTGACTGAGAATGAACACCCTGCGGGCATGATGATTTGTGTCAGATAATGCAATTGGTTCCAGCAGCGTGATGTGAGATCACAAGCAATGCGAGCAATCTATCTGCAACATAAAATGTCTTTAGGCCCAGCACTCTTCATCACCAGCACACAGAGAAACAGTTCATGCACAAAACAACCCTAACCACAGTAACCAGCTCAAACGACCCTGTCTGCTTGTTGATGGCATTATTGTGATCAAAATGGAGAAGTGGGCCCAAGAAGGGGCTACATTTTCAGTGCGAATAGGTTTTGGAGGATGACTAGGTGCTTAGGGAAACTAAATCTGCAACTCAGGGGTCCGCTTCTCTGCTCAACTCTACAACAATGCTAGGAAATTCATCTACTTTTTTTCTGGAAACTTAACTTTTTATCTAAAATGTTGCTTTACCATATCATGAGATTCAAACCTCTAAAGACTTTTTATATTCTCTCTCTTCTCAATAAATGGTATTTCATTTGAGGAACTCTTCTCCCTAGTGCGGACGCTTCCTTCGGCGGAGCTCCACTGGCGTGACAAGCCTGGCCCCTCTGCCTTCCTTTGAGAAACACTGACTGGTATGGCTGAAAGGGATAAACCAGGTGCTCAGCCCGCTCCTCCCCTCTCCTGGGGCTCAGTGGCCTGCGAGAGGGGGCTGATGTCTTCTGTTAGTGCGTCTGCTTGAACTCTTTGCTGCACCAGACCCTTTAAGTACAGAGGACTAACTTGAACAAAAGATTCATCCGCCAGCTCACCGCTTTCCCATAGGCAGAAGGAATTCTCTGTGAGGCCTTCAGGCTCGGGTACATCAAATGACTAGCTAAAACTGTCATGTCCTGGGGTCCAGTGTTAGGAAATTCATTTGTTTTTCACACAAAGATACAGCTTACACCTTACCTTTATCAGCAATATTGGTGATATTTAGATTTTTCATCTGCCTTATTCCTTGCTTTATTTCTCAGTGTGTTAACCTATTAGAGAAGAAGGGTACTTTTTATTGAAACTCAGAAATCTTAAAAGTTATACCTTTGTAAAAAAAAAAAAAAAAAAAAACTATAAAAATGCTGGATGATGATCCAGTCTTTTGGTTAGTGATATGCTATTATATGTGGTCACATACATTAGATCTCTATTTGCTTTGCTTTGCTCTGCTGCACTTCAGACCATCACATTGAGAACACCATATGCATTGGTGCTGGATTCAATGACTTATAAATAGGATGACCATTTTAATTCAAACCAGAAAACATTTGAAAGTTAAGGGAGTGGGAGGTGGGACAGTTAATAATGGCACTGGGACAAATGGTGTACACCAGGAATATTCCAGGAAATAGGATCTACTGAACTCTGCTTTTATTTTCAACTTTCCAACTAGATATTCTATGGATTTTCCACCATTTGTCCTTTTTGCCTTATTTTTTTCTCCTCCTAATGAAGTTCTAATGCAGCTGCCTAGCTTAAATGAGAAGCTCTATTAGCAAAGTTTTTAATTAACGCTGTTTCAAGTATATGAAAGTATCTGAACCATGACTATGCCCACACATCTGTTTATATCCCAATTTTTTCTCTGTGGAAGTTCCATAAAAGTGAGTATTTTGTTGGTAAGGTGGAGCATTTGAAGGTTGGAGGCCCCATGAGACATCATGATAATTGAGGCCTGGATTGCTTCGTGATCAGCATTATCTGGAAAGGGGCCTCAGCTCTCCATTCCATTTTGAAGTTGACAATCATCGTGTGTGGTATTGAGAACATCTGTTCCATGATTCTCAAAAAGAGGACGTCATGAATCACTGCTCCCCAAAAGATTTTCATTTTGCTGGAAGTTGAGTTTAATTTTACTTGAGGTCTTAAAAGTCTCAAAAGATGTATTAGAAAGTAGACAGTGTTTTATAGCACAAGAGTGACAAGAGTCTCCCTGTTATTTCACAAGAGGAAAAGCAATGGGATTTTCAAGGGCAGTGGCATCTTATTTCATTCTCCCTGCCCTCTCAGAAGACTCAATAGTACTTGACTGTAAACAAAAAATCCAATGACTGACTTTACACGTTTTTTAAAATGTTTTTCCTCTATATGTGGACACAGTCACGTACTTGATTTTTGATTAAGTTTAATAGACACACACACTAAACAGGCTTATATTGCTGTTTGTCCTCCAACCAGCAACATATGAGAGTTCAATTTGCTCCATATCCTCACCAGCACTTTTTATTATTCTCTATTTTAGCCATTCTAGTGAGTATGTAGTGGTATTTTATTCCATAAAATTTTAATTTCCCTGATGACTAATGATGCCAACCATCTTTCTATGTTTATTGGCTAAAAATATCACTCATTTTCTAAAGTGTCTATTCAAATATTTTTCAGACTTTTAATTTAGTTGTTTTTCTTTTTATTAAAGAGTTATGAGTTCTTATATATTTTGTGTATGAGACTTTTATTAACTATGTTTTGCAATATTTCCCCCAGTCTATGGGGAAAATGGTTATGGCTTATCATTTTATTTAGTTTATGGTATTTTTAGAGTATAACTTTTAGATTTTGATGAAATCTATGACCTGTCTGTGACCTCTATAAAAGATATAGCCATAGGGACAGAAAACAGTTCAGTGTTGCCAGAGGCTATGGATAGTGGAGGGGAATTGACTACAAATGGACATGAAATACCTTATGAAAGTGGTGAAAATGCTCTATATGTGGATTATGGTGATGGTTACACAGCTACATAACTGAAGAGGGGTAACAATTTTTATTTTATGTAAAGCATGCCTCTATAAAAATAATTTTAAAGTGAAATAAAATGCCTGTTTGAAATTCTCACATTCTAATAGAATCATCTTCTCAGGTGTGCCTCACAATGCTGCATTTATTTTTTCCCCTCGCACTTGAGAACAAAAAACAACTTAAAAAAAAGTGGGAGTGTGGTGGGTATATAATATCACAGTCTCCATACTGCCTCACAAACGCAGGACCCCAGGAAAGAAACAAGGCCGGCAAAACAGGTCAGAGAATGCAGCTTAAAGAAATGGAGTAAAAGAAAAGGAGAGAGAGAAAGAAGGAAAAGAGGACATATAGACATATAAGTTAGCCATTGAAATCCATGATCGTATTACACATTTTCTCATAATTCCTTTCAATACTCATTTAACCAACTCAGCTATTTCAATAGGATAAACTCCATTGTGTTTTTTTTTTCTCATACCCAATACTCCTCAGGGCTGTCATTTATGCAAGAAATAATTTTTATAGTTTATCTAAAGAAAATATTAGATGGTAGCCAGAATAATGCATTTTTATTTCCTGTTAGAGGCATTGTTTCTCTTGTCTAATACCAGCCTTGGACAGACTGTATTTCAAAAAATGTAATTTTGTACAAACTGTCACTTCAGGGCCTAAAAGGATTTCTCTATTAGAAAGCAATTTCTAATCTGAAGATTACAGTTTATATTACTTATATCCTTTTCTTGCTAGAATAGAGAGGTATCAAGGGCACAAGAGTAGCTATATTTTATATATTGATTAAACCTATCATATTGGTTACCAGTTTCTCATTTATACTCTATCGCAGCTGGACTAAAACTTGAAAGAGATCAACCAGTATTCTTACATTAACTTTTAAATGAAAGCAATAATATATTAGAGGCGGATGCACAAATTCGTGCACCGGTGGGATCCCTCAGCCTGGCCTGCAGGGATTGGGCCAAAACCAGCTCTCTGACATCCCACGAGGGGTCCAGGACTGCAGGTCAGGCAGAGGGACCCCACCAGTACACGGATCCGTGCACCAGGCCTCTAGTATGCAATAAGATCTTTGGTTAATCTCTTCCCGCCAGCCCGCTTCCTTCCCTCTGAGATTCATCAGTCTGTTCCATGTTTCCATGCCTGTGCATTGAGCATCTGCTCCCTGGTGGTCAGTGTGCATCACAGCCACTGGTCAAATGCTCAAATAGTCACTTAGGCTTTTATATATATAGATTTTACATATAGATAGATATGAAAACACAAATTGTACAAATTGCGCTAATACTTTATTGTGTGATTTTTCTTACTTTTAATACTCAATGTGCCTAACAGTATTTTACCAACCCATCACCAAGAATAAAACCTATGGACATGGATGGTTGATTACATTAATACTTCAGGCAATTACACATGTAGATGCTACACTTATAAGCTTGCCTATCAAACTTAATTTTACTCAGTGGAGTAACTAAGGACCATAAACACTCTTTTTTCACTTGGACAGCTATCTTAGATAATTCCATGTGCTGAATGAGAAAGTATTTGATAAACCTGTGACACTAAACACTGATAGATTTTTTTGTCTAAAAACTATGCTCCTATACCAGTGATGGCGAACCTTTTGAGCTCAGCGTGTCAGCATTTTGAAAAACCCTAACTTAACTCTGGTGCCGTGTCACATATAGAAATTTTTGATATTTGCAACCATAGTAAAACAAAGACATATTTTTGATATTTATTTTATATATTTAAATGCCATTTAACAAAGAAAAATCAACCAAAAAAAATGAGTTCGCGTGTCACCTCTGACACGCGTGTCATAGGTTCACCATCACTGTCCTATACCAAGCATCAGAGTGACTCTTGGTATCGGTCCCTTTCATTTCTTACATTTTTCTTCATATTAAAGCTCATAGCTCCCATGCTCCCCTAATCCTCCTACTATTCATGACAGAAAACATGATAATAGGTTGGGAGTACTTTGTAGAGTAACTACTCTGTTAGAGGAAGAACTGGAAAATATATTAATTTAAACACAAAAGAACATTGGACTGGGTGTTGAAAAACTTTCTTCAAGAGCTCATTCTGCCCTGAGCTGACTAAGGAAATTGGGGATAGTTACATAAGCAGAATGTTCACTCTTTTAATCTTAAAAATGTGGAATTTTAATCTTTAAAAATGTGGAATTTGGATTATTGAAGTTCCTTGTGGCCCCAACATTCTAAGATACTAATATTTTTATATTACCAAATTATAGGGACTGTGTAAGTAAAAAGTATTTTCTCAAAACGTGTTTGCTGAAATAATGCTTAACTATGTCATGTTAACCTATAACAAATATTATTCATTAATAAGAGGCACTTATCTTAACTCTGTTCCCACTTCTCCACCATGTTCATTACAGCATGGCCCAAAGGACGCCCAGGGCTTGATATGAAGTGGAGCCCACCTGTTCAAGACCTTACATTCTGAATATCCCACCTAAAGTCATTTCCTTCTGTTTTGAATCCCTCTAACAACCTTTTTAGTACTTTGAATTCTAATTTTCTAAAGATATATTTTCCATAAGTAGAACTGATTCTTAAAAAAATATAGGGAAAATATTATTTGTTTATTTTGAAATAACATTTTAAGGTTCAATATTTAAAATTGTATATTAACAAATCTTTTTAAAACTTGATTTAGAAATTTAAAGTAGCAGGGGACTGTCTTGGGGTGTCAGAACCAGGGGGATTTGCCTGCATACTCCAATGAACAACTATCATCTGTGACTCTGAAACATGTCTTGGGCTGGCTCTAAATATTGAGTCTGAAAGATAATATAAGAGTTCACCAGATATCCTGAATTGCTGAGAGCCATAGGCTTAATGAGACTATCTCCCTCATCTCACATGTCTCTTTCAGTGTAGTATCAATGTGGTAGGGATCCTTTCTTCCCCAAGTGATAGGATGTATAGGTGGCCCATATAATATTTTATAGCCACTCCTGATCCTTTCCAGGAAGCTCAAAAGAAATTTTTTAAAAAAGAGTTGGGGATCAAGAGACCAAACTAACTGCAGGAGAACAGTAGAAATTGGGGGCAGCAGTGTTATAAATATAACCTGCTTATCTTCCAGAGAAGACCATGGGGTGATAGGTGGGCAGCCGGAGTGTGAACAGGACCACTTGTCTGTTGAGACCTGAGACAAAAAGTTACAGGAGACCATGGCCTTCTGCAAATTGCTTAAGATA